CCGTCTTTGCCCCGCCAGCATTTCTGCCCTCTTCGCCCTGCCCCGGGCGGCCGCGGGCACCGACCTAGAGGGACTTGAAGGCCTTGCTGCAGCCGGTCGCGGGTACACTCTGCCCAAGTTCTGTCGGCCTTGATCTTGGGGGGAGCCCGTAGGGCAGAGTTGTTGGGAATTTGTCTTCTCGGTGGTTCCGTTTGTGCGGAAGAGAGGGGAGCGTTTGGGGAACTTTCTGACGTCACCCGCCCCACCTCCCGGAATCTCATCACAACTTCTTTGGAGCCCTGATCGATGGTTGTAATGGACCCCAAACTTTTCAGGACATGAAGTGAACAATGGACGGCGGTTCCGCTGCGTCGGCCTTCCTGACCGACAGCCTGGAGCTGGAGCTGGGGACCGAGTGGTGCAGACCCCCCTGCTTCTCTTGCGCTTTTGAAAACAGAGGAGTTGGAGGAGCGAAACATTTTTCTGGGGACTCCTACCTTTCCAGCGGAGCCCTTAAGCGGTAGGTGAACAAACAAAAGAACGGAGACTTTGTTTTACCCTCATCAGATTTTTTTCATTAGTTTGTTCGGAATGTTATTTAATTAAGATTAGAGGCAACTAAACTTGATATTCAAGGCATGTTTTTGTAAATCACTTTAGTACATCAGACAGATGCAAACTAGTAGTTCTGTTGTTGGTTTCCTGGTTAGGAGCATAATTAAAAGGTTTTTGTATATGAAGGAGAACTGTCTTGCTGCCCGATGTTCTCTTACCTCACTCCTGCTGCCTCAGCTTTGTCATAGGGAGCTGAGTTCTAATTTAGCTTTTAAGTAAACTGAATCCTGAACTACCTGGTCTTTTTGAAATGTTGTTTCCTCCTAAAATATGAAATAATATTTTGGAGCTTCTTAGTAATTCTTAAGCAAGACATGCACAGTTTTTGTTGCCCCAGTTCCTTCTAAGTCTGTGTATCATTACATATACAAGTCATGTTTTTTAAAAACTTTCTAATAAGTGCACCACATTGTGTCAGTTCACAGGAATGTTATTCAAAGTTCTTGCCTTGGGCAGTTGTACACATATTGCTGTAAAACTGCTGTTACTGAAATATTTTGGGACTACCTTCCAAGGCAATTTCAGTCAGAAAGGAAAAACATTTTTATTGGTTTTATAGTTGTACTTTGTTTGAGATGTTAAAAGAGATTACTCACTTTGATTATGTTGTTCTCCAGACACTGCTCAGAATAACATTTAGCTGTTTTAAAAATTAAATGCCCCCTCACTGGATGAATTCTACATCTGAAAACCACTATTAAACACAGGCAAAAGTATGTTTCTTAGACTCCTTTTTGTCTTTTACACATAAGTTACATTGCTCTTTAGTTATACTTTTTCATCAGCGTACAGGACTGAATTTTTAATACAGTTCTAGCTTTGCCATTCTTATGTATACAGTATCAAGGCACAGCCTGACTTTACAATTTCATTGCTGGCACGTCATGTGGAATACGGGTTCCTAGAAGGTCAAAAAAAGGACATGCTATACTATGGGACTTAGTGTACTTTTCATGAGATTTAATCACAGTTCTCATTTCAGATTAATTTTGAGTCTTGATCCTTTACCAACTAATTTTGAAGAGGATACAGTGGAACTATTTGGCATTCAGTGGGTTACTGAAACGGCCTTAGTGAATTCGTCTAGAGCGCTCTTTCATTTATTCAGGTATGTTTGCTGTCTTTAATTTCCTTGGAGTGTAGATGCTTGTTCACTTTTGTAAGTTACCTTGCTGTGTGGTTTCTTATACTGATATTGACAAACACACCAGTAGAGTTATACGTGTTGTTCCCTTGATTATCTTATCAATAGTAAAATTAAGCAGTAATGTTTTATGGAGTAATGGTTTGAGTGAGTTGTTTTTTAGTGAATGTATTTTTTTTCAGAATCTTTATTTGACATGTTGTATTCAAGACAAGTATTTAAGACTTTGAACTATATTATAGTTTTGGAAGAAAACCAAAATACTTCTATTGTTTAATAGTTATAGTTTTCCTGTGATTTTTAGAGAATGCACTCAGGCTTCCCAAATACATCTTTCAGACTGTGTAATTATTAGCAATATGATTGATTAATATGGTAAATTTCGACATTAAAAATTTTTAATGAAAATTTTCAAACATACACAAATGTAGAGAGAACAGTATAATGAACCTCCACATACCCTCCTTCACTTATAATAAACATCAAGGTTTTATCACATTTCCTTCATCTGTCCTTTCTCTTATTTTTGGCTTAAATATTTTTAAGCAAAATCTAGACATCATGTCATCATTAAATATTTCAGTATGAATTTCTTAAAATACAAACTTTTTTTCAAACATAAACACTATCTTGTTATCACAATGAACACAGTTGTAATAACGTGTCATTTAAAACTTAGTCCATATTCAGATTTCAGATGATTTTGAAATTGGGTCAGTTATTGAGGGCAAATAGTTACCAAAAAATAGATTAAGAATGTATATATGGTGCATGTAAGTGAAAAGGAAAAGGTGGAGGGATTTCTCCTCCCACCCTCATCCCATAAGACCTTGTGAAGAGACATCACTGTATGTGTGCCATGTTGTGTGTTTTATTGGGAGACCAGGCTGAGCGAGTCTCTAATTTTGAACACTATAGAATGAGTTGAGTCATTGCCTAGCACACGGGTCATGAATATGGGTCAATCTTTAAGGAGTTGAAAGGCAGGTAGGAAGACTGGCAAGAGCAGATTACTCTCAGGAATTAAGGTGGAATGTTATAACTTTTCCTGATAACTCTAGTCTACATTATTCCTTTTTGAACTCCTGTATAAATGTGTGTGATACAGTTTAACATTTCATTACATAACTGTTAACCTAGGGTATTTTATATAAGTATCTTAAACTCCTTGAAGATTTAAACAGTATTTCATTGATAGTGACATCTATGACATTTGATAGACTTTTTGAGATATTTACAGCTTTTAATATATTATTTTTGGAAGGTCAGACAAAGGCCTGTTTATCTTTTCTCAAAGTCTTCACTACCTGAAGCTGACCCTATAATAAACATGTAGTATTAGAAACATTATCTATGTATTTATATTCTGAGATTAATTCTCACTTTACATTTTTAAATTAGGCAACAACTATATAACTTGGAAACCTTATTACAGGCCAGCTGTGATTTTGGTAAGTTGTGTTTAAAGGGGAATTATAGTGAATTGCATGTGGGTTTTATGATGCGTAGTTGGGATATCATAATACCATGGAGGAAGTATTACGTCAGAAAAAGTATGACGTTTTTTCTGAACACTAAATACAATTTTGTTGTAGCTGAGATTTACAGTATTTTTCAAATCTTTTTTTTTTATAATTTTTTTTTTGTTATTGGGGGAACGGGGGACGTGGGGGACGTGGAACGTAGGGAACGTCAGGGCTATTTTTCAAATCTGTAAGTAAAATTGATTTAAGGTTAAATATCTCTGAAGTGAATTAGTAACAAGCTTTGCAGGTGTGGAGTGGGATGGAGAACTCATAAGAGAAATAGTACCAGACCTTATGCTGTCTTCTTGCTCTTCTTTTCTGCTTTTTGTTTTTGTTTGTCTGTTTTTGACATTTAATAGAAGACTGATATGATGGGGGGTTTGGTATAGTTAAGGTAGCGAAACTAATTGAAGGGCAGTGTTTTAGTGCACGCCAGCTACTTCTTCCTGGCAATTTCGGTGCAGTATGTATTTAGAATCCTGGCTCTGGTCAGCCTGGGTTCCGCTCCTAGCTAATTGTGGGTCTGACACCAGGTAATAGTTCTCACCTCCGTGATTTCTAGTGAGAATTAAATGACAGTGCAGGTTAAGTGCTTAACCTAATATCTTATTAGTGATGCTTAGCAATTAAAGATTACCTGGAACACACCTATGGTCAAAGAAAGGTTTAGTGGCTTACTAGTACAAGGGGAAAATCCACATCATGAGGAACAGTTGAGGCCTCTCAGTAAGGAGGAGTAGGGAGGGCGTTGTGATAGGGTTTCGGCTTGTGCCAGCTGATTTTGGGTAGAGGTTAAGGGGACTAGGACTTTGTTCTGGATTGGATGCTGTTAAGAAGCAGTGGAAGTTTAATGATTGTGTTAATTTTTATATAGAAGGTGAGACAAATAAAGGGAGTCTAGGGAGGGTTCTCATTAGTAAAGAAGCAATAATCATGTTAGCTGGAAGAGGAGGGTTTCTGTTTTTGTATTTTGTTTATATGTGATTATATAATGCCTTGTTTCTGATTTCAGGGAGGGTTTGTTATTGTCTTATTTCACCATAATCCTGGGGTGGCCCTGTGTGATTATTATTTTTTTTACTTTATTAAAGTATAGTTGACACACAATATTGCATTTGTTTCAGGTATACAATATAATGATTTGATATTTATATACCTTACAAAGTAATCACCACGATAAGTCTAGTAATCATCTGTCACCACACAAAGGTATTACGATATTATTGACTCTGTTCCTTTGGCTGTATGTTACATCCTTGTGACTTATTTATTTTATAGCTGGACATTTGTACCTCTTAACCCCCGTCACCTTTTTTACCCATCCCCTTCTCCCTTCCCTTTGGCAACCATCAGTTTAGTTTCATTATCTGTGAGTCTGTTTCTGTTTTGCTTTTTATATTACACAAATAAGTGAAATAACTGGTATTTCACTTAGCATACCATCCTCTAGATCCATCCATGTTGTCACAAATGGCAAGATTTTATTCTTTTTTTATGGTTGAGTGATATTCCTGTGTGCGTGTGTGTATCTGTGTATGTGTATGTATATAATCACATCTCTCTCCACTCATCTATTGATGGCCACCTAGGTTGCTTGCATATCTTGGCTATTGTAAATAATGCTGCAGTGAATATAAGGGTGCATCTATCTTTTCAAATTAGTGTTTTCATTTTGTTTAGATAAATACCCAGAAGTGGAATTGCTGTGTTGTATGGTAGTTCTATTTTAATTTTTAAAGGAACCTTCATACTGTTTTCCACAGTGGCTGCACTAAATTACATTCCCATCAACAGTGCACAGGGTTCCCTTTTCTCCACATCCTTGCCAACACTTGTTATTTTTCACATTTTGATAAGAGCCATTCTGACAAGTATGAGGTGATATCTCATGCGATTAGATTATTTTTAATATTTTATGAAAACTTGTTAATTTCAGTGAGGAGTACCTGGCCTAGCCGTTTGCTGTCACCTGTTAGGGCTCTTTTATTGGTTTTGTTTTCTTTGCATATGCTCAGTAAGCACTGAGTAGTAGTATTTCATTACCCTCTGAGTCCCTGCTTCAGCTGAGGTGCTGGGTAAGGTGCAGACACATCAAAGTGGAAAGTGTGCTGCTGAAGAGCTTGCAGTTGAGTGGGACGTAGACATGCACACATAGGTCAGCATGGTAAATGGAGAAGTGGTGGTAGAAGCACGTACAAGCTGCTGTGGCAGCCAAGGGCTTCATTTGCTTATATGCTCATCACCCAGTGATGCCAGATCTGAGCCTTCCAGGATGAGGAGAGATTAGCTGGACAGGAGATTTTGGGAAAGTTTAGGGGACAGGAAGAGTTCCAGGTCGAAACAACTGTATTGACACAGACTTTGAAGTATGAAGAAATGTGAAAGTTCAGGGAGCAGGAAGTAATTATGTATGGTTGGATTAGTGTGTGTGTGAGAGTGATGAATCTGGAAGGGACGGAATCACAGTTGTCTTTGTAAACCATTCCAGAGAATCAGAATTATATTTTGAAACCCTGCGGAGCCAGTAAGAGATTATAGCGGGCACAGCAAGAACACTTGACTATATAGACTTAGTTTGAGGAAGGCATTTATTATATAAGATTATTCCTTGAAAAACACTTATTGAGCTAAAATAGTACAATGGACTATTTGTTGAAATGGTTATTTGTTATACTGACATTTTGGTGTTTTTGGTTTCTTAAAAAACTTTTAGTGATAGATTTGTTGGATAGGTTAGCAGTATTGATTATTCCAAATGAGGCCATTGCTGTCATGCAGCTGTATCAGGGCTTTGTTGTTAGACCCATGTAGCTAGTCGTGGCCCTCAGCCCTCCCTGGAAACCCCTTGAGTAGGGACACCTCCTGAGGTGTATTGGTTCTTGTTCTGTTCGTTATGCTATCTGGATGGCTTTCCAATGAGGCGGAATAACATACGAAGTAATGTATGTTTTACTGAAGCCTGTTCTTAAATATAGCTGTCAGTGTTATTCCTTTTTCAGATACTATATTTTTTTCTATGGACATTTCATGTGGATTTTTTTTATATCTTCTTTTTCTGTCCACATACTTTCCCGCCCCCCATCCATTTTGAACATAAAGCGTCTACGTATAACTGCTCTTTTCAACTTTGTTGACTGCAAGTTCTTTCATCATCATTTCTTGGTCTGTTTGTATTGATTGATTTTTCTCCTAGTTCCGGGTTATCATTTTCTGGTTCTTTGAAAATCTAGTAATTTTTTATTGTGTGATTGACACTGTAGATTTTACATTGCTGCTTTCTGGATTTTCTTATATTTCTCTAACATGTTAAATTTTGTCTGGCTTGCTGTTGAATACTTGTAATCCACTGGATTTTTTAAATCTTGTTTTAAATTTTGCTAGGACTTTAAAAAAGTAGCCTTTGGTCTAATGTTATTTTAGCTCTAATAAGGCTTCTGAGGATTCTTTTTGGTGTATTATGATTTTTTTATAAAATTTCTGGTGGGAACTGGAACTGTTCCCTAGCCTGTGCAAGCTTTGTAGGGAATTGTTTTCTGAAGTTCTCACCTGGTCTTGGGTTATTTTTCTTGGGCTTGAACAGATCAGTATTCAGCCAAAGATTTAGTGGGGACCCTCGGTATATTTCCAGAGCTTTTTTTTTTTTTATGGAGCTTTTTTTCTTCTTTGGTGCTTTTGTCCTGTAAATTTAGACCTTTATCTCCTCAGCTCAGTGATTTTGGCTCTGTTTGGGCTCTCTCTCCCCGTGCTGCAGCCTGGTAATTGTTTTTTGGTGGGAAGTTTGTGCAGTCTTAGGACTTACCTTCTCTATGGGATAGCAGTCTTGCATTGCCTTGTTTCTGGTGCCTGAAAACTTTTTTTTAATGTTGATTTTCTGGTTTTCTAGTTTAAAACATCTGATTCCTTTTACTCCATCTTGACTGAATGCAGAAGTTCACAGCAGTTTTTTTAAGGGAGTACTTCCTTTATGGGCTGAGAATTGTGAAACTGAGGGATGATAGGACTTTTGTAGGTGAAATATAATTAAGCTATAAAAGTGCACTATACTGTTTAATATGTAGGTATTTGCATAACATCTTTTCCTGTTGGTTTTGCCAAAGCACTGGCCATGTTTGCTCATTTAAGTTCGAATTTAGAAATAAGTTTTGCTTTATGTTTAATATGGATCAGAATTTGTTGTCTTTAATTCTCATCATGGTTTTTTATGCTTTTGTTTAGCGATTGTCTCTTACTCATTTTTCTTATAGTGATTGTCAGTGTTTTGCACATGGTAACGTTCCAGGTAATTTTTGCTGATGTAAGTGTTGAAGTGAGGGGAAGATGGCATGGTTTGAAGTTGGGAGAAAGACAGACAATATTAATATATCATTCTGGGCCTTATAAATCATTATAAGGAGTTTTGATTTCATTTCATTCTAAATACAGTAGATAGCTTTTCATGGGTTTTGATTTTGGAGGAACGGGAATTGATATATATTTAAAGCATATTTTGTACTTAGATTATAGAGGGGCAGAGAGGATAAGGGAAGACCTATTAGGAGACCTGTTCAGTAATTCAAGAGATTATAGGGAAATGAAAAGTTTAAACATAATTTTGGTCATAATAGGACTCTGGTGGATTAAATATGAGTTTTAAGGAAATGGAAGAAGCAAGAATAACATATAGGCAACTGTTGGCACCAGTTGTAATGAGTGGAGAAAACTTAGGCATGAACAGATTTTGGGAGAAATCGAGGATGTATTATTTGCAGTGTATGAGCAATCCAAGTAAAGATGACAGGCAGTGCCCGGCCGGGTGTGGCTCAGCGGTTGAGCATCGATCTAGGATCCAGGCGATCAGGGTTCAATTCTCGGTCAGGGCACATGCCCGGGTTGCGGGCTTGATCAGTGAGTCTCTCATCATTGATGTTTCTATCTCTCTCTCTCCCTCTCCTTTCCTCTCTCTGAAATCAATAAAGATATATTAAAAAAAGAAAAAAAAGATGACAGGCAGTTTGACATGCAAGGTCTGGAGTGCAAAGGGGAGGTCTGGGATAGAGGTAATCGTTTTCAAGTTGCTATCATTTTGAAATAAAGACACTGATAACTGATCATTATTGCAGGAAGAGATGTACAGAGAGAAGAGAACTCAGGTCTTATTCCTGAGGAGACCCCATACTAGTAGTAGGATAGAGGAGTAGGAGCCAGTAAAAGAGAGGTAGGAGAAAGGACACATGAGGAAGAATACACCAGGGTAGTATATGGCGTCAGTGAAGCCAAGTGTAGCCAGTGCTACTGCGAGGGCAAGTTACTTGAGGACAGGTAGTATCCATTGATTGGACAACATGAGTTTCATTGGTGACCTTAATAACAGATTTTGGGGGCAGTGCAAGAAGTATATAGATATCAGTGGAAAAAATTAAAAGATAAATTGCTGCTTTTATTTCACTACTCACTGATTAATTATTTAAGCTATGATTAACATTATATGTTTTTATTTCAGGGAGGATATCAACCCTGCACTCCAAAGCAGGCAATATTAGGCAGCAATGCGTAACATTTCTTCATTATGTTAAAGTTTTCATCTTCAGGTAGGATGCCAGTTAAGTATTTTGATTACTGCATGAATTTCTGAGTACATATTCATCCAGACTTTGGTTGTTTATTGTATCTAATTGTTTTGTAGGTTCCTGACAGTGCAGAATGCTCAGAATCATGCTCCTGTTCATCCCTATGAGGTTCTGGAGGCTCAGCTTCCCTCACTGCTGGTTGATGAGCTTCATGGATTACTCTTATATATTGGACACCTATGTGAACTTCCCAGCATTAATCGGGGAGCATTTATGAATCAAAATCAGATTGAGGTTTGACTTGTTTCATTTAATTTTTAAATTACCAGTTTTTCTCCCTACAAATAGTATTTATTCAAGAATGAAGGAAATCAGTCAGGAGGACAGCTCTAGACCAGACTACCTGAGTTGAAATTCTGTCTCCTCCTCTTATTAATTATGTCTCTGGGCAAGTAATACCTCTTGCCTCAGTCTCCACATCTATATAATTCGTATAGCTTTCCAGAGTTCTTAGGAGAATTAAATAAATGAAAATGAATAAAGCACTTAAAACAGTATACACTAAATCTGATAACTTCTCTATTCTAATTTGTAACAGTGCAAATGTTTAAAAGTTTCAAATAAAATCAAATAACCTTTATTTTCTAAAAATATGTGTCATCTTTGCTTACTTTTTTTTTTTTTTTTTAAGATTTNTCCTCTTATTAATTATGTCTCTGGGCAAGTAATACCTCTTGCCTCAGTCTCCACATCTATATAATTCGTATAGCTTTCCAGAGTTCTTAGGAGAATTAAATAAATGAAAATGAATAAAGCACTTAAAACAGTATACACTAAATCTGATAACTTCTCTATTCTAATTTGTAACAGTGCAAATGTTTAAAAGTTTCAAATAAAATCAAATAACCTTTATTTTCTAAAAATATGTGTCATCTTTGCTTACTTTTTTTTTTTTTTGTTAAGATTTTTTCATTGATTTTTTAGAGAGAGAGGAAGGGAGAAGGAGAAAAAGAGGAATATCAATGTGAGAGTGAAACATCGACCAGCTGCCTCCTGCATGCCCCCTACTTGGGGATCAAGCCCACAACTCCAGGCATGTGCCCTGACCAGGAATCACCTGTAGCTGAATTGAACCAGCAGCCTTTTGGTGCATGGGCTAATGCAACCAACTGAGCCATACCAGCCAGGGCTCCTTTTTTATTATAATAAAATTCAAAAAGATTACCTTATAAAAGTTACACTTTCAAAAGCACTTCATTTTGCCTATTCTGACTTTTGAGACTTTTTCAGAATATGATTAAGATTGTTTTGACTGCCCTGGCTGGGTGGATCTGTTGGTTGGAGTATCATCTCATACACCAAAAGGTTGTGGGTTCATTTCCTGGTCAGGTTACATACCCAAGTTGCGGGTTCAGTCCCTGGTTGGGAGGCAACTGATTCATGTTTCTCTCTCTCTCTCTTTCCCCTCCCTTTCCTCTCTTTCTAAAATCAATAAAAATATCCTTGGGTGAAGATTTAAAAAAAGATTGTTTTGACTGATGACCTTTTGCTCCCCTACCTTTTATTGTTCCATCTGAAGTTTTTTGCTTTTGTTTTTTAATTTGTCTTGTTAGCGTAACCCAGCTTATGGTTATAATTAACAAATTCTCCATAGGATAATGTGAGTTTAACTGGATGACAAATTATACTTTCCCATGAATTCCCTGAACTCTCAACCTCTTCCATTCTATTTGACTTTACCAATTTTAATAACATTTAGTTTTTAGGAACATGTCTTTGTCAAAATGTTCAACTAAGTGTTTGTATATTTCTGTGAAATTGAACAACAACAACAAAAATTGACTATGGGAGATCAATATATCTAATAAAGCAAATAGAGTTCCAACTGAATTCACAGATTTATGTTTATAGAAAGCAAGCAGATAATTGCTTTTAATTGTGTCATTTAATAAAAATTAATAGATGTGGAGGAGGGATATTTTTCCTTCATTTTAGCCTCTAAATTCAAATTATTTTTCTGGATATTCATCAAGTGGTTAAGAAAATAATAACTTATCTAGGAGCAGAAATAAAGAATGTGTGCAAGGGTCCTCAAACTAGGTTTTGCCCTTCATAGGTTTTTTAATTAGGCAGACTTGAAAAGATAGGTTATTTGAAGATTTGAAGACTGAATTCTTAAAGCAGGGGAATGTAGTCTTCAATACATAAACAAAATCATACACTAAAATTCTTTTCGAAAACATCTTACAAAATAAAAGCATCTTTCAAGATTTTATATTTCCTATATTTTACCAATCTTACATATGAAAAGTATTAATTTAATTGGTATTGTCAATTGAGCATGTCTTTTATTTGTTTTGGAACTTAGTTTATTGGAAATATTTGGGTATTATGCATTACAAATATTTTCATTTATCTTTTTCAGCATTTAAGCTGACTTACTAGATAGATTGGACTTTTAAATAGTTGTATTTGTCAGTGTTTTTCTTTTGTGTCATCTCTACGTTGATGTTAAAAATGTATTTGTTTTTTACATTTACCTCTTTAAATCTCTTTCTTAAAAATAATGCTCTGAGGTATGAAATCTAACTTTAGTTTCTTGCAAATAAGTTAATAACTCTGTCCTATTGAGTTACTCATGCTTTTCCCACTGATTTGGATATCATGTTTATCCAGTTCTCTTATCCCTATTTTTGCTGTTTTTTATTATCTATTCCTGAGCCAGTACTAATTTATTAGTGTAGCATTTTATTTTGTTTGCATATTTGATATGGCAAGTTCCTTCTGCAGCATTCTTTCTGGGTGTCTTAATAGAACATGTGTATAGTTTTTATTTTTATAGTGATACTAAATGTTGACTGGAAGAAGGTTATTGATAGTTAAGAGCACTGGCTTTTCAGCCAGAATTAGGTTTGAATCCTGATGCATGAATTGAGAGGTAATTTCTTTGCTTCTTTAAGTTTCTTAAAGGGCATGACAATAGTATTTACATGATAGTTTCAAGTTCTTGTTAAAATTCTTTATAGGAGTTCCTGGATATGTATTACATTTAGAAACATTTCCTAACTAAAGTTTAAAAGTCATGCAGATAAGTGTTTTTAAAAAAATTCTTTTACTGCCTTGTAGATGTAGTAGAATCAAAGGTTGGTTGAAGGGACCTTTACTATACATGCAGTTAGACCTAAGGTGGGTCTGTTCTAAGTCTTTAGATGAAAATATATCCTGTCCTGCTTTTAAAATCTCTAGTGAAAGACTCTTCTGATGAACAAGACAAAGGTTTTCCCTGAGCTTAGTGGTAGGTTAACTGATCCTTTGTCATGGTGCTTATGGAGGAGTGTTGTGATATATTATCAAATACCTTGTAAAGTGTTATGAATTCTCAGTCACAGTTGATAATATCATTCACAGCTTTTCCCTCCATCGTGGCATTTATTACATCTCCACTTGGATATTCATTGGCTGGTGCTAGAAATTCTTCAGATACTTGGTGAAAAATTGAGTAAGTTTATAGATTTCTGATTTATGACCTTTTTCTAATCTAAACTTTTATTGTTTTTCTAAAATTATAGAAGTAATAAAAGTGTTTTCTGTTTTTTTTAAATCAAATAGTAATCTAAGTAAAGTGTAAAACTCTTACTCCTTTTTTCCAGAGATAACTACTGGAAACAGCTTGATCTGTTTATCTTTCCATATTTTATATTAGAATGCATATATAGAAACTCATAGGTGGGATTTTTGCTTTGATTTCTAACCACAAATGCTGCTGTTATATTTTTCTGTGTGGTTTTTTTAGAGATTTGTTCATGTTCATGCCTATGGTTTTACTTTATTCATTTAAGGGATGTATGTAAAGGTCTGTCATAATTTATTTAGCCAAGTTTTTTTTTTTTTTAATATTTCAATTATTTCCCTCTTTTCATGTTAGAAATAATAATATCCTGATCATCCTTATGTATATATATGTCTTTCAATAGTTGTACAAGTTATGCTGTGGAATAGATTCTTAGAATTGGAGTAACATGTTGCAGTTTTAATATTGTATATGCTCTCTGTTGCTGTAGAGTAAATTTCCCCAATTTGTAAACACTAACTATGAGCATGCCTTTGCCTCATACTATTGCCAGTAGTGGATATTAACAGTTATTTTTTGCCAACTAATATGTGAAAAATGATGATAAATCTCTATTTTTGCAATTTCTTGGTTGCCAGTAAAGTTGGACATTGTCACATAACTTTATTGCCTCTTTATATTTTTTTTATTAATTAGTTTATAATCTTTTGCAAATTTTTCTTTTTTTTTTTTAATTAGTAGAAGTTCATTACAGATAGTAATCTTTTATTTTGTATGTTGCCTATTATTTCTTGGTCTTGCTCTTTCGCATCTTTAGGTTCTATTTTAAGTTGAGCAATATTCTGGAAATATTTAGTTGTAAAATAAATTATTATTTAAGTTATAAAGACATTTATTACCTCAATGCCTGCTTTTTAAATTAATTAATAAATACAAAGATACATATATGTCTCTATGTGTGTATACTTACATGCATACATGCACGCAGACATGCAGAGCTGTACACAAATACATAATTTTTTCTCCCCTGTGGACTCTTTTTTAAAAAAAATATTTTCTTTTTTTTAAAAATATATCTTTATTGATTTTAGAGAGGAAAGGAGAGGGAGAGAGAGAGATAGAAACATCAATGATGAGAGAGTCATTGATCGGCTGCCTAGCCTGCAACACAGGCATGTGCCCTGACCGGGAATCAAACCCCGATCGCCTGGATCCTAGGTTGATGCTCAACCGCTGAGCCACGCCCGGCCAGGCAAAAAAAAAAAATATTTTCTTAGAGCAACACTCACTCAGGTGGATTACTCTGATATAGGCACAAATTTTGGTATCTGTTACCTTTTTTTGCTATACTTCATGCAAAAAAACAATTGCACATGGCTAGTTTATCATTGTTTGTTGAAAGAATGTTTTATTTATTTTTATTTTTTAAAATATATCTTTATTGATTTCAGTGAGAGGACAGGAGTGGGAGAGAGAGAGATAGAAACATCAATGATGAGAGAGTCATTGAACGACTGCTCCTGCACATCCCCAACTGAGGATTGAGCCTGCAACCTGGGCATGTGCCCTGACTGGGAATCAAACCCCAATCACTTGGATCCTAGGTTGACGCTCAACCGCTGAGCCACGCCCAGCAGGGCAAGAATAATGTTTTAAAGGCTTTATTGGTTAGAAATATGGGTGAAGAATTTCTAGTGTTTACCCTCTTATTTTTTTCTCTTAAATGATCTTGCTTGGTTTCTTTACAAAGATGGCCACATTTAAAAAAGAGAAATGTACTGAATGGTAATTGAAAGGATTGAAACGTTCTTTAGGTGATGTTTATCAGTGTTCATATAAGAAAGGAGTTGTAAAATGTAACTTCTATTTGCAAAAATTTGCTTTTAAGTGCATAATTTACAGTTTTAAGTTAATTTAAAGGTTTACAGTCACTTTCTTCTTTACTGTAGTTTTAAATAAAATTTATTACATTTTTAGAACAAGTTGTATATAGTCAGCAGTTTTTTAATCTGGCTGGTGACAATTTAACCAATGTCAGCCTATTTGAAGAGCACTGTGAAAATCTCCTTGGTGATTTAGTAAGGCTGTCACTCAACAGATATGACAAGGTAATGCTTTAAGAGTTTATTTGTATTTTTGATATTTAATGGCAATAGTTAGTACTTAATCCATGTGGTTTAAGTTTATAAGAATGTAATCTAAATTCTTGTTAATTCTTCCCATTTTGTATTTACTATTATCTGGGAGTTGAATAGGAAAAGAAGTTGGTTTAAACATTTAAAAGAGGCTGGAATTAGTTTTAGACCTGCTATTTTTTTAAAGCTTTTTCATCTTGTCAAAAATAAATAAATAAAAACAATGTTTATGATAATGACTGGAAATTTAACTTCAGTTTAAATAGGAGAGGCCAGCCCTTTAATAATCTAGTGAAATAATGAAAGAGATGAGTAATTAACTAAAGTTTGTCGATAAACTTAAAAGGTAGTTTTAGTTCACAAATTTTAAGGGTAGTTCACTTGTTTTCATAAAAGTTCTAACATCATGGTGGAAATTACTTGTTTTAACTAAATTGTATTTATATATAGTGTTGAATGCAGACAGATTTAAAGGTGTTTGAGTACACATTCATTTTCAAGTAATGGAAATTTATAGATTATCATTACTTATTTCTGATTACAAGCATAAACCTTACTAATGAAAAATCAGGATTTATAATTTTTTAAAATGTAGATTGTTTTATGTATTATCAGTATCTTTTTAATCTATATGTTTATAATTAATAGGAGCAGATTAATCAGATATGATATAGTAATGCCTTAAAGTTACCTTTTACAATGTATTGTGTTAGATATGTATATATAATGTATGTGAAATAATGTATAATGAATTTCAGAAGTTTAGCTATACTTGTAAGTATAGACAATATTCTCTGCATTATTTAAGGCCATCGAGGATACATTTGTTATAAAAATGGTAAAGTTGTTTAACCTTTATATAGCTCTAATAATTGTGTTTATTCTGACTTGCAAACATTTTTAGTCTCCTTAACAGTGAATCAAAAATTATTTTCTAATTTTTTTACTACATGTCTTTTTAGTGTGGCCGATGGATTAGATCAAAATTAGGAATCCATGAGGCTGTGGCGAAATGTAGCACACCCCGTTTTTGTAAATAGAACTTTACTGGAACTCAGCCCCATCCTTTTTTTACTTATTGTCAATGGCTGATGTTACACAACAGTGCCAGAGTTGAGTAGGTATGCAAAGACCGTATCATGGATAAAGCCTCAAGTATTTATTATCTAGTTCCTTACAGAATGTTTGCTGACCATTGGACTAGATACTTAAAGAAGAGAGTTTTTGTTAAAAGTTGAAAATAAAATTTATTCTGTGCTGTTGGTTTTACAATGGGGGATTTTAAAAGTTAATGAAATGGCACATTTTTATAAAGAATTTTATGTAATTAAGTATAAATTTTAAGTCATCTAGATCATTCTTCTAAAATATTTGGGATGATGTGTAGCATGTAAAATTCTAAAGTAACTCATTTGCATTCTTTTCTACAGGTTAGGCCTTCTGAAGCATTAACGAGTCACCATTGCCTGTGTCCATGCATTAAAGAATTATGGGTTCTACTCATTCATCTTCTAGACCACAGAAGTAAATGGACTCTATCGGAAGTAAGTTGTAAAGTGGATGTATTAGTTATTGTTACTAATTATGCAGTGGTTTTGGCCAAAAAAAGTCTTACAGCATTCCTCCTTTATAGGACAACCACCAACAACAAACAGAGCGTTAACTGAGTACTAAATACCTGCTACATTTTAAATCCTAAATTGGTAATATGAAACATGTAAGAGAATTATAAAATTGGACTTATTTTCTCAAGTTTTCTTTTCTTTTTTTGTTATGTCAAGAATCAGGCTAAAATATTTAATATCCTTTAGTAATTCAAGAAACATTTTAGTTAGGAAATGTGACAGATATAGATTTGAAAAGAAATAAAACAGGTTTCTGTTAATCAATTTTTCAGTATTATTTCAAGGAGGGATGAAGAAAAGCGCAAAGAGGAAGATAGGAAATTTTCTTTGACCTCATTTTGAGCCAAGTCTTCATAATGGGGCTTTATTTAATTTCAAGTGTTATGGATTAGGAGAAAAAGAGAAATATCCATAGACAGAAGTAAGTATAAATAATTCATTATGAAATGATACTTAAAATGGTTTATGTTATATGAAAAAGTACTTTTGATAACTTATGGGATTTTTAATTTCCCACCTTTCCACAATTTGGGGTTTGGGTGCTGCTATCTCTTTTTAATAATGACTGTATTTTTGCAGGTTTACAAGTACTTTATTTATTTATTTACTTATTATTTTTTTAATCCTCACCTGAGGATATGCTTATTGATTTTTAGAGAGGAGAAAGGAAAGAGAGAGACAGAGAGAGAGAAGAAAACAAATATCAATGTGAGAGAGAACATCGATTGGTTGCCTCCCATACGTGCCCTGACTGGGGATTGAACCCACAAACTTTTGGGATGAAGCTCCAATCAACTGAGTCACACCGGCCAGTGTGCACTGTATTTATTTTGAGTTATTTTAGCAGTAAATTTACTAAATTAAATATAACTAAAATAAAGTAAGTTTCCTAAGTATGAGTTTCTTGTATTTTCACTTATTATTAAGTAAGAAAATTTTTTCCTGGCATTTTGGTTTTTCAGTACAGTTCGGCGTTCTAAGAGATTTGTATATTACAAAGTTTCAGCAACTTTTTTCCCTTTGATGTTTTATTTCATTGACATGGTAAAAATCAATTTTCTCTTTTTCTGCAAAGCTTATCTTTATTAGTTAAGAATTTTATAATTTTTAGAAATGTTCTTATTTTATAAATTTTAGACTTGAAAGTGTAAACCACATATAGTTAGTGTAGGCATATTTATACTTGTTGCCATTAGACTTTTTCTAGATTTTAAACAGAAAACTAGGCATAATTTAAAATATTAATTATAGAAATCTGCATAGTAATATATATTGTTTAACCTAAATGATTTGTATGCTCTTCATTTTATGTAGTAACCAGACTTACTTGTCTTAAAATAATAAATGTCTGAGGCCATTTTGTTTTTAAAATAGTATTAAAATGAGTTATATTATTCTCAGAGTTCAAGGCCACTTTATTTGAAAGTCAAATTAGAAGTTTATATTCTTGATAGTAAGACAGTTTGACCTTCCTGCTTAAAAAAGTAATCTGATCTAATTGTGCTGGGTATTATGTAAGAAGCATTTTAAGTGTGTCAGTGAGCTTGTAGAAAGTAAGAAACACTGAGGCCAAATACTAAATATAGGTGGGAACTCAAGTCAGCTGAACACTGAAGCTGCCTTATCAATTTAGAGGCAGTTGCTGAATTGTAGAGACTTGAACATTAGCTTTCATACCTTATAAGGCATAAGCATAGAGAGATAAAGCTCAGAGTTGACCCAAGTCGATAGCCTACTATTATACCAACTATCCCTAAACACAGGCTCCCAGAATGATGAACTCAAACCTCAGCTAAATCTGTAGGGAACATTGCCTGTCTTCAACTATGGTGCATTGTGGTTTAAAATCATGTATTTGTTTTTTTGTTTTTGTTTTTTTTAAATATATCTTTATTGATTTCAGAGAGAGGAAAGGAGAGGAGGGAGAGAGAGAGATAGAAACATCAATGATGAGAGAGTCATTGATCAAGCCCACAACCCGGGCATGTGCCCTGACCGGGAATCAAACCCCGATTGCCTGGATCCTAGGTCGACGCTCAACCGCTGAGCCATGGCTGGCCGGGCTAAAATCATGTATTTGTTATTGCAAGCCGGCAAGTTCATGGTGCGTAGGTGGTACTAAAAATTTCAAGCCAGTGACTTCTAACCCAGTGACATTGTCTAATAGCCATGGACAATGGGTGGACGCTTAAACTCACAGCTTCCCACGTAACCTCCTCCAAAATACAGAACAGCAAGAACAAGTGAAAATACACAAAAAAAACCATGTTGCTAGCATAACTACAAGATAGGACTATTCAAAGCTGTAAATTAAAAGTAAAAACCACCAAAGCTCTACCACAAAACTTTCTGCAAGCAAGGGTAGTCAGAAAAATTGCTCAGAGGAGGGAGGAAGGGAGCTAGGAGAAGTCATAAAAGTTGGTCTAAAACCATTGCCAGAATGTGAAAATAGTGAAAATGTTTCCTTATAGATCAGAGAACTGATTATACCATAGGAACATAAAAGTGTGCATTACATGAGGAGGCAGTCTTTGAAGGTAGGGCTTCTGGGAATAAAAATGTGGAAAGGAAGTGGCTCCCCCTTGGTGATCGAGTGGTGAAAGTGACTGGAAGTAAAAGCAGAAAATGTAGAGTCTTGCAAAACAAAGGAGAAACAAAGAAACAAAAACAAAACTCACCCACCACCACCACCAAAAAAAAGGAAACCCAATAAAGAATAGGACTTTGGTACACGGACAAAAGAGGGCTCCACTGAACCAGGAATCTTAAAGTAGCTCAAATCTACAAAATGAAAAAGAAGGAAACTAAACAGACCTTTCTAAAGTTACTACAAGAAAACAGAACTGATATACTTTACTCAATGATACTCTCTTTCCCAGAAACAACTATAAAGCAGAAGAAAATTGTAAGACAACACTGCAGACAGAATTAAATAGACAAGGATTTGGGTCTGTAATAAAAACACCTTGAATAAGATACTCCATTGTGGAAATAAATAGGCCAAAAGACAGGAATGAATGGAGTAAATTGAATGCAGGAGAGAAATGGAAATAAAAATTATTTTAGAATTGACTGAATTACAAGGTCCCTAAGGAGAATAGATGCAAATGAAAATTTAATAAGGGGCATATAAGAAAGGCAACCAAAGGAATAAAAATGAGATAAAGGAATATAAAAGGTTAGAGGGAAGAAGGTTGAAATGGAAGACAGGCAAAGAATAACGGTATGTTTAAATGGAGTCTCAAAGAAGGAAAAACAGTGGGATATAACTAACATTCAAAATGATGAATGAATCCAAGAAAACATTTCAGAAATAGAAGAGGAACTAAATTCTCATATTGAGAGAGCCTACTAGAGAACTGGAAAGATTAACTCCTAATAATCCAGGCTGAGACATAGCCTGCTGAAACCAACTTCAGGCATACAGAAAATGTCTTCACACCTTCTAGGAAATGTTCAGATGCTCAGGAAAAAAGACCCAGAACTCTGCAGTCAGAAGAGGGCCCTCACTGGACAGTGCTGACACCCTGACCCCGTACCGTTAGCCTCTAGAACTGAATGAATTAATATGACACAACAGACCAAGCCTCATCTTAAAGAAAAGTAGCTTAGGTCCTACCTTTTACTCTGTGGAGATCATGTGGACTGTAACTATGAGATGCTTCCTTAATAAAAAGCTCGACTAAGAAAAAGTGGCCCCACCTGGCCAGGTGTGGCTCAGGGGTTGAACATCAACCTAGGATCCAGGTGATCGGGGTTCGATTCCCGGTCAGGGCAAATGCCTGGGTTGCAGGCTCAATCCCCAGTTGGGGACGTGCAGGAGGCAGCCGTTCAATGACTCTCTCATCATTGATGTTTCTGTCTCTCCCTCTCCTTTCTTCTCTGAAATCAATAAAGATATATTTAAAAGAAAAAAAGAAAAAGTGACCAAACCAAAAGGACACAACAAAAATGCCCTAAAACAACAAAAAAAACAAGTTAAAAATTACTCTTTGCACTGGCCATCTGACATGCAGTGGCTTTGGGGACCCAGATGGATGTGGGTTAACTGAGAAGGAAAAACAGAAAAAGCATTTGAAAGCTTCAGGAGTCACAGGGAAGCTTCTTCGTTCCATCTCCCTGGGAGTTAATGGTTGCACTGAATGCTGACAGTAGGCTGAGGCTCATAGGGCCCATGCTTAGACGTGCTCCGGATTGCTGAAAACGGTTTTTTTTTCTATCTTATACAAGGATTTAAAAAACTTACAGCATGACAATACTGACTTATACAGTGTGCTCAGTTTATTTTTTAAAAGAAATTATGGGTATGTATTTGTGTGTACACTAACATTCTTGCGGAAAGAAATACTTAGTTCTCCCCTCCCCCCCAGTGGGATTTTAAGTTTTCCTGCTGAGAAAGGGACTTTTTTGCTGCCAGATCAGTGTTTAAAGGATTAATGCTCTAAGGAAATTATCCAGAGGGGAGAGGCGGTTCAGGGTTATTAAGTTATTTTCAAATGGTGTCTGGGCTGCTGCTCACCTTTGTAAAGGCAACAGGCTGCTGCTTTTCAGGGTGACAGGATAAGAAGCAATTAGAGAAGCCTAGGAGAGGCTCGGGAATGTTTGGGAATTCACACATACCCCAAATTACGTGGGAACTTGAAGAATGAAAATAAACTAATTTGATTAAGGACATATTTGATCAAGTATCCCAGAATATACCCTAAGCATGCAGCCAATACTGGATATATCTGTATGAGTGTTTTCCTAAAAAACCCAACATTCATTATCTAGTAGACTTCAGTTAGACTTCAGTTTCCCAGAAGAGAAGGAAAGCTAATTAATATTCTTTGAGTGATGTTTCATACGTACCAGAAAGCAGAATGGGTGTGAGGTTAAGTAAACTCTTTAAATAACTCAGAATATATAAAGCTGGATTTCAAATGCAGATTTATTTGATGGCACAGCCCGTTTTTTTCTACCACATGATTATGTAAGAATGTACATGTTTAAGAAAGAGAAAGAAAGTGAAGGAATGAATGAAATAATTTTCTTTTGGGGAAGCAGATCTAAATATATTTTATGTGCACTCTCACATTTCCAAAAGTGCCATGAATGAGATAGGAGACACCTGTGCAATATAGTAGAGTTTTGGGCCTGTACACGTTATATTTCAGCTGCCACAAATATGTGTATATGTATACGTGTTGCCACCTTTAAGCACTACATACAGAATGTTACAAAAACTTTCTGTAAATAAAAACTTATAAGTGCAAAAAAGAGAGAGAAATACACATATGCTTAGAGATATTGAAACATATCTCTAAATAACCTGTAGGTAAAAAGAGGATATGATGGAAATTAAAAATATAATAATAATGAAAGTTTTTATTGATTTTTAGAGGGAGAGGGACAGAGGGATGGAGAGGTAGAAACATCAATAGAGAAATATCATCGATCGGCTGCCTCCTGCATGCCCTCCACTGGGGATCGAGCCCACAGCCTGGGCATGTGCCCTGGCCAGGAATCGAACCATGACCTCTTGGTTCCTAGGTCAACGCTCAACCACTGAGGCCACACCGGCCAGGCTTTAAAATTTTTTGAAGGAAATAACTAACATACTACACGTAGCTTTGGGACTGCAGCTAAGGATATAAAGAAGGAAATTTATAACTTTAAATACCAATGTTAGAGGAGAAAAAATTGGAAATTAATAAGCTAAGAAGTTAGGGGAAATAAATCCCTGCATAATAAACCTAAAGAAAGTAACAAGAATAAAAATAGCACAGAGTTTTCAAATTGAAAATAATAAAGATGATCAAATCAATAAAAAAGACCAGAACTCTAAAAAATTGGTTCTACAAAAAGATTACTAAAATTGGCAAATCTTTCTTGAGATGATTACAGTCAATGCTGGAAATAAAAGAACATGATTTCAGATTCTGCAACTATTAAAAAAAAAGTTGAGATATTGTCAACAACCTTATGCCCAATAATGTGAATATATGAAGTGGACAAATACCTAAAAAAAACCTTACTAAAACTCATCAAATGTTCAGCGGTCAATTAGGTAAATTGTTTTATTATGTAGTCATATATTGGAATATTCTGTTGAACTGTGGTTATACTCCTTAATTTGGATGTATCTCAGAACCACCATGTGAAGAAAAGGGGCAAGTTACCAAAGAATAGAAACAGGCCAGTTAATAGACACTTCTCCAAAGAGGACATACAGGTGGCCAATAGGTATGAAAAGATGCTCAACATTACTAATCAGAGAAATGCAAATTAAACCACAAGATTACCTCGCACTTGTCAGGATGGCTGTCAACAGTAAATCAACAAACAGGTGCTGGGGAGGGCGTGAGAAAGGGAACCACTGGTGGTGGGAATGCAGGGTGGAAAGCAGTGTGGAGTTACTTCAAAACTTTAAAATAGCTGCCTTATGACCCAGCTATTCCACTTCTGGGAATGTATCCAAAGAAACCTGAAACTAATTTGAGAGAATATATGCCCCCTTGTGTTCATCGCAGTGTTATTTACAATAGCCAAGATTTGGAAGCAGCCCAAGTGCCCATGAGTAGACGAGTGGGTACAAAAGCTGTGGGACATTTACACAATGGAATACTACTCCACTGTTAAAAAAGAGGGAAACCTTACTCTTTTAGGCAGCATAGATGGACCTGGAGAGTATTATGCTGAGCAAAATAAGCCAGTCAGAGAAAGACAGGTATCACATGATCTCACATGTGGAATCTAATGAACAAAATAAACTAACAAAAGAGAAACAGACTTATGGATACAGAGAACAGACTGACAACTGTCAAAAGGGATGGTGATTGCAGGGCTGGGTAAAAAACGTGAGGGGATTAAGCAAAAATAACAACAACTCAGATACTACAGTATGGTGATTATGGGTGGTGGTGGAGGGAGGTAGGAGAGGGTAAAGGGGGGGACAAATGGCGGTGAAAGGAGTCTTGACTTGGGGTGATAAACACATGATACAATGTACAGATGATGTATTATGGAATTGTACACCTGAAACCTATATAATTTTATTAACCAATGTCACCCCAATGCATTCAATTAAAAAATGAAAAACTGTTTATTAAAAAAAACTCAAAATAACAGGTGAAGCCAAAAATACATGATTTGGGCTTATATACCTATGTGGCAAAACTTACAAAAACAAGGGAATGATTAATTATGCAAGTCAGGATAGTGATTACCCACGTTGGGAGAAGATGATGTGGGGAACATGTAGGATCTTTCTAAAATACTATTCATGTTCTAATTCTAAACATGAGTATTTTTATTGTTCTAGTTTTATATATTTTTTATTTTCTTTTGCATGTATATTTCATTATAAAAACGGAGGGAATAGCCCAAATCAAAGGTTATCGGATCAGTGTCTATTTTAATTGAGTCATATTACCTCTGTTTCTATAGTCGTTTTGGAACTGGTTGAATAAACTACTTAAAACACTCTTTGAAAAATCAAGTGAGCAGAGAAGACCTTCTGCACCTGTAATCCAGTCCAGGGATCCATTAGGTTTTAGTTGGTGGATTATTACTCATGTAGCATCACTTTACCAGTTTGATCGCCACGGAGCGCCAGATGAAATGGTAAGATTTTATTTTTTTAAAACTTTATTATATTATCAATACATATTTTTGGTAGACAAATTAAAAAGTAAATGAGCAGAAACCACAGCAAAAATTAGGTCATAAGCCTACAGAGATAAATTCAGCTTCTGAATCTAGAAGCTGTAGACCTTTCTGTAAACATCTTGAAAAATCATGATCTTTGTTTTTATTGTTTGAGAAAAGCAATTTGTAGAAGAGTTGGGATCTAGTCCTGGTTCTGCTACTAAGTAGTTTTGTGGCCTTTAGTGAATTATTTAAAACTTCCTGGGCCTTTGTCCCCTCACCCAGTTATCACAGGATTGGATTTTCAGAAGATTTCCTCTATTTCTAAAATCTGTAAGATTGCCGAAGGGAAAGCATATTTCCCCAGAAAGTAATTAGTAGGTTTTGTGAATATTTTGGTAAAATTATTTCCTCAAAATAACACTTCTTTTTTTTGAAAATATCTTTATTGATTTCAGAGAGAGGAAAGGAGGGGGGAGGAGAGGGATAGAAACATCAGTGATGAGAGAGTCACTGATCGGCTGCCTATCCCGCAACCTGGGCATGTGCCCTGACCGTGATCGAACCCTGATCTCCTGGATCCTAGGTCAGTGCTCAACCGCTGAGCCACGCCCGGCCAGGCAAAATAACACTTCTTCATAGAAGCTTTACACAAATATATTGTCATCTCTTAAACAATTATGAAGTTTACTTCAAATACAATGACAGATTTTACCTAGTACATTAACTTCTAGTTAGAAACATTTTTTACAGTGTTATTTAAAAAGCCCTATGAATGAAACCAGGTGGTAGGTATATTTATTTGAGGCCCTATTTATATATAATTTCTTCCATGTTCAGAAATGAATAGCATAGTATTATATCATCCCATCACTTCCGTAAAATCAACATCTAGAATCTTGAAGCCAGTGTCTCTATATTTTCAAAATTGGTCTTTTTTCTGGGAGTGGTTCCTATACCTGGCTGATCATCAGACCTACCTGTGAGTTTTTTAAAATTCAGATTTTTAGGTCTCAACTCTGGAGTTCCTGATTTAGTAATCTGTTTTGGAGTTTGGGAATCCTTATTTTTAAAAAGTTCCTTGGCTCTCATACTATAACAGGTATGGGAACTATTGCTTTACGAAACATGTTTCTTGTTGGACTTGACAAATTTTCCTCTCTTTGGAATATTGAACAGAGTCAGCTAGAAATCTCCATGGAATCTGAGGGGCAATTAGTATTGACATTATGTCATAGAAATGGAAAGGCCATCATGAGGTCCTCTAGATGATCCCCCTAATAATAAAAGGCCTGCTAAGGGGATCCCAAGATAAAGTAATGTAGAGTCAAAAAGAGCTCTGAGAAGTTCACACACAGCTTGGTATCAGTGTATTTTAAGAATTCTTCCATACATTGAGCAAGGTCAGTAGTAGAATGAGCTTTTCATAGAGAAGAATTGTATGTCCTTTGTTTCTGTACCTGAGTCCTTACCATGCTGATACACAGTAAATACTCAACAAATATTAGCAATTGCCATTATTACTATAGTATCCCTTTTATTATTTTTGTGGAGTTACATGACAATGTTTCACATCTTTTTAATTTTTACAATACTAGAACAACATTAAAGAACCCGAAAAACCTACCTATAATTCTAAGGTCTGTACTTAGCATTTTTATTCTCTTCCAACCTTAATTCCTCTAAGTACATACTGTATTTCTGAATTGAATCAGTATAAATAAATATGGTAATTAGTCAAGCACTTCTGAGTTCCTATTGAGTGGCTGTTATAGTATTAAGTGCCAATGATAGGATACACATGAAACAGATTGTACTGCCTCTCTCTTTAAGGAACATGTTTTCAGGTTACTATTGCTTGTTGGAACTGCATTAACACTCATTTGAGTGAGTGGTATATTTCAGTAGTGGTTGCTGTTGACCCCCAGATAGCCACATTAATATATGTATCATTACTATTACTATTATAGTGTTGAATTGTATTAGCACAAACATCCACAGTAGCATTGCTGAAAGCACTCTATTATACAGAAAGTTCCATAGGAGATTATTGCTTTTACTAGTTCTGAATCAAGATAGTAAATGAATTTTCTGTATTTAAAATAGCTTAACCTTTGTGTTTTTATGTTTTTCAGCAGTTCTTGTGTGATTTCCTTTTGCCAAGATACATGTTTTTAAAATCTTAATTCTTTTAAAGTTATGTAAAAGGTTTTAAGAGGAAAGAGAGCCATAATATTTGAAAAAGAACCTTTCATATGATAAAAATAATAAAGATGTGCATATGTATGTATATGTGTAATGTAAAATACATTCCTTTTATTCACGATTCCTCAAAGAGTCAAATATTTCTGGACTTCTTAATGGCTTTAAAAAAACACTAAAGCTTTCCACAAATAGGGGTCATATCTTTAGCATATTGCATTTGCAAGCTGTTTAATATTTCACAGTGACTATTCAACTTTTATCTCAGTGAAATGTTATAAAATAGGTGAGAGGGTAATATCTCCATTTTACAGGTATAGAAACTGAGGTACACAGTGCTTAAATACCACCTTATTTTTATCAGTTAAACTTGATATTAGGATTCTCCTGAGGAGCGCCTTTTAAGAATAAGTCTTTGGGAAGGTAACCATGTATACCAGTTTGCCATTAACAGCCCTAGTTTATGCCTATTATCCCTTCGTTCCATCTAGTTAGTTTTCCTTTTACTCAGAAGTGCCTCGTTTGGTTTATAAATCATGTAATCTTTTCTAATCAATGAACATAAAAACTTATTGACTCATCAGAGCTTGTAAAGGATGTTAATTTGGGCCTAGGATGTGTTTAGATTAGAATTGTGAAAATTACCTGAATTCTTCTTTTCTCCTTAAGATGTATTAGCACAGCCAGCTACCATGATGCGTTAAGCACACTTTATTCCACTAAAGAGTTATCTGGTGTGAGAGGATGATATAAAGTAATAATGGTTAGTCATATGTTCTGCAACAAAGAAATACCTCTGGTCTTCTGTTAACCATAGAGATGTTGCAGTTTTTAAATGTGAACTGCTTTGCCCTGGAGATGAATCTGAAAGCTTTGCATTTTAAGTAGGTTTCAGATATAGTTAATTTTTATTTTAAAAGTTTTTGTAAATGGACTTTTGCTATATGTGTATTTAAACCACAACACTTGCCAGTTGCTTAGTATAGGCCTATAAGGAAATGTGGTATCTCACTTCTCATAATCACCTACTTTAAAAGCAAATATAGTTTAAAGAGAAAAATTACCTTTGAGCATTGCAAGCATCAATTTAACAGTTGTATCTCTATCCATAACATAGTGCAGTCAGTCAGGCCAGCTGATGCTCACCTTTGAAACATCTGAAATGGTGGGTAGATAAAAAATGTGAAATGAAACCTTAAAATTAGAGTTGTACCAGGTTGCCTAGTTCACTGGAAGTGGAGGATGGGGGCTCTATTTTACATTTCTGGTGGAGATACCACCTCTGCTGAAGCCTAATTCATGCTTAGTTTTGACTATGGGATAAGAAATGTACAGCACAGCCCCAAATCAGTGACTCCTACCTTTTTTCTTCAGTGGAGTTAAGTTACATATAACAGTATATAGAAAAATTGCTGTAACTGCTCAAAGTTAGTTTTTCCTATGAAAGAAATGTCTATATTCTCTTGATACCTATTCTCTTCCTCACATTTGATTTTGGCAGGATACAGTGGCCATTCTTTCCTCTGAGTTATGGCTTATTTTTGTTTTTGGTGATAGCCACAATACTGATCCATGGAGTTGAAATTCTATGGACAGGAATTACACTTCTCCTTTATAATCCATATGATTCAAATGCCTTGATAGAACTGAGTAATTGAAATGCCTTGATAGAACTAATTGAAGTGTACTCATAAGCACTATCAAGTTGTAAAGCTACAAACATCTACCCTGTCATGTTCCTGTTTATTTGGGACTAGTGGTAACTTTTTCTTAGTGCAGAATGATATAAAGGTAAATTGCTCATAACTGAGGGAAGGCTTGTTAGAAAAAGAAAATCAGTTAACTGATAACTTGGTATAATGGAAGGAACTCTGACTTTGGAGCCAGACCAACTGGGATTTGAATACGTGCTATGGCTCATATATATATGATCTTTCTGAGACTTAATTGTGTTATCTTTGAAATGGCATTTTTTTTGAGGAAGTAATAATGTAAATACCCTAACACAATGTACATATATTATTGATAGAACAAAACTGTCTCCATTTTGTGAACCTTTTAGGAAAAACTACTAAGTTTTAGGGGACTACTCTCATTTCTGACACCAACTACAGGCTCAGGGATTCCCAAAACTATATAATTTACTTGGACTTACAGAACTCACTGAACCCTATTATACTCACGGTTATAGTTTATTACAGGGAAAGGATTTAAATTAAAATTAGCCAAGGGTACATAATGCAGAGTTGAAGAAATGTACCAAATGTGTAGTTTCTGTTCCCCCCCGCATTAATGTATGACTGCAGACTGAGTGTCAAGTGGACTTGGTATCCTAGGAGAGAAGGTCTTGTAGGCTTTCCTGTTGGAAACGTGGAGTTATTTTCAGTTTCTAGCCTTTGTGAAATATTTTGGCTCTGAGAAAGTCCTTTGTGACTGTCTTGCTTACTGTGGGGAATCTTTTAGATAGTTGAGGTTGCCAGATAAGTGACCATTTCCATAGCACTGTGTAAATTTTTTCCTTATTTTCTGTGTAAAGGTTTTAGTTACTTGTTTACTGGAGTAGACTGTCTTGAGACTGTTATGCATAATATGAAGGAAAAAGTCTCATGAGTAAAATACAGAATAAGAAAGAACACTCAGGGCATAATAGCCCCCCAAAAATAAAAGCTTTTCCCCCCGTTAGATTACATCTGACAGCAAAAATTAAATAATTTTATAGAAGTACCACTGCTTAATGAAACAACTCCTTACAAGGTTTATATTGGATTGGAATAGTTGTAAATTTTTTCTACCGAGTCTCAACCAACTCTGCCAGTCATTTTAGATATTCAAGAAGTTGTAGTGAGGTCTGATGTTGGACAAAATGTTTGCACTTCACACTTTGCTTGCTATACCATAAATTTTGATTTATAATTAAGAGCAATAATTTTGATACAGTAACATTTTCTCCCTTCCTAGAGACAAATGGAGTCAAATTGGAACTTTGTGGAAAAACTGCTGAAAAGGTCCATCAATGTTCAGGTATGCACTTAAAGTGAGACAATTTGTGGGCTTGGCTAAATTTTTCTGTTACAGATTTTATTTGTAAGAACCAAGCAAACTTAAAATGATTTAAATAACAAACTTAGTTTACTTATTAATAACCTGTGATAGAAATCATCATTCTTTGTTTATGAAGTGTCAGTGTACAATAGTTCCTATTAGTGACTGTCCTTTGAAGGTTTTTATTTTTAACATTGAGTTGCCAGTTAAAGGACAAAGATAATTATCCTAGTTGGTAACTTTGACAAAATGTATTCAAAATAAGGAGTAGGTGCTTCAGAACCATAAGCCATTCCTCGACTGTGTAATGTCATGGCTAAGAGACACAATGAGGGAGACAGTCAGTGGCACTGGAAATTCAGCTCCGCCTCGTCACAGCAGGAAGGGGACTTGCCTTGCTGAGCAATTTGTCTTACAGGCTTGAATCTTACTCTAGCTGATAAGGTCCCAGGTTCTGAGCCCTCATTTCATACCTTATCATTTTTCTTTCTGCAGAGCTGTTAATGTAGTGCCTCATGGCCCACAGGTCAGATCTGACCTCCTTTTAAAATAGTTTTAAATGCGCTGTTCATCACATCCTTAAACATATTGTATTGTAGTTCTTAAAGTTTTGTAATATAAGTTATTTGTAAGAGTTTAAGGGAAAATTTTAGTTAAGAATTTTTTAAATTTGGAAAATAGATTACTTTTCTGTTAAGAAATATTTTTAAAACTGGAAGAGGAATGAAAAGGAAATATGGTAGTAAAAAATTGCTGTATATATAGTGCACACACACACGCACATTTATTTCATAATCATACCTTTGAAAATCATTTTAATAGCTTGAAAATTTCTTCTCCTTGTTATATATTTAACTCTTAATATTTTTAGGTGAAACATACAAGTTCTAAGTATGAGGTAAGATTTCTAGGTTAGAATTCCAAAGACCTCTGCATATTTAAGTTGTATCAGAAACAAAAGAGCTATTATTCCTATTGTAAAAGTTTTGGTTTATTTTTAATTTTTTCTGTATCATTTTAATTGGCTTTATTCTCTGTTGTTTTTGAGAACACATTGATTTAGTAATTCAAGTTTCTTCCATGTATTTTTTTACTTCAAGAATATAAGGAATCACTAAAAATGTTCGCTGTTTACAACAACTATTACTCCAATCATAATGCCTTAACATAGCTTAAAAACCTCTTAAACTTACTTTCCGCTCTAACAGCATTTCTTAAAAAGGCTGTTAAGGTTCATATGGATAAATGTCCACCTGCCCATAGGTCAGGGACAGCAGGAGAATGATCATCTTCTCTTTTCCATAGAAAAGTTTTTTTCCTGCTGCATTTCCTAAAAGTTTAAAATGTATGTACTCTGCCAATCTTCCGGTTTTTAAAAGAGCAATTATATTCTTATAAAGAATTTGACCTAGTACTTAGGACTTGTGTGCATGTTAATTGTTTGATCACTTTTGCTACTTCTTTCTGGTTTGGGTTTCTTTTCCAATCTCTGGGTTTCCTACACTGTTCAGTTATGAAACACCTATTGTAATTTTTAAATAATTGACTTAAAAGTCAAATTGAGTTATATATTTTCATTAAACTGAATATATTAACAGTTTCTAAAGGAAATTTTTAGATGTGTACCTTGTGCTGATTTAGACTTTCTGGTCTGAGGATAATAGTGGGTATGACTTGGTGATATACATTCACGTTCTTTTTAGAAGCAGGTATTCGGTGCAGTATCATGTGATAATACTCATGTTGCCAGAGCCCATTTACTTCCTCACAATTTCAGTTTATGTTTTAGGATGGTATACTAGAAGAGCAATTGCGAATGTATCTTCACTGTTGTTTGAGACTATGTGATTTTTGGGAGCCAAACATTACAGTTGTCACCATTCTCTGGGAATATTATAGTAAGAACCTGGTGAGTAAATAGAATATGAATTTGTTCCAGGAATTTGAAGAATTTTTACATGATATTTGAAGAATGTTTTTATGGTTTAATTATGAATAGCTATGGATTTTTCTTAAAAAAGTTAATTTTTCAAAGTAGATTAGACTAGCTCAAGAATAATTTTATGATTCACAAACATTGTCTATAGAGCATTGTCCTGAGGGAATGGAGCATTTGGTGTTCCTTTTCTCTTAAGAGTGAAAGCAAGCAAAGCAGCTGAAAGATACTATACCAGAAAGATACATATTTTAAATCCTTATTTATAAGTATTTTCTAATAATTATGGATTGCTTGCAACACATTGGACAGTTAATGCTGTCCTGAATAAGACATAGTCTTGCCATTTGAGTTACTTATACCCCATTTGGACAGATATATTTTTGGACAAAAGTTAAAATGCTGTGGAATGTCAGAAAAGGGAGTATCTGACCCAGTTTGTGGACTTCTAGAAGACTTTATGAAGTCATAATTTTAAACTTGACCTAGGGAATGAGTGAAATTTTCCAAATACAGAAGTAAAAGAGCATACAGGCAAAAAAAAAGTATGGACACATGCATGGAGACATGAAAAAACATGATCTATTTGTACCACATTAAAGAGTTCTGAGTGATAGGTCTGAGGTGGCTGTGGAGAGAGACAGGAAATAAGGAAAATAGGAGGAGTCTGGGTCTAGAGTGTGAAGGGTTGAAGATAATGTCCAGTTGAACTGTGATTGATTTAGGAGACATTAGAGAGCAAGGATGTGACATATTAGGTATGTGCTTAAGAATTTTTTTCTGAAAGGTGCTATAAATGAACTGGGCACAGGTAAGTTAGTAGTCTAATGTAGTAGTGTAAGCAAACAGTGCGGTGTGAGAGATCTGAAAACAGATAATTGATTTAGAAAGGAGAGGGTAAATTTGGAAAATAAAACATTCAAGGGTAGACTTAAAGGATTTAGTTCCCTGTAGTGTGTGGAGAGGAGAAGATTTGGAATGTTTGGTTTCTGTGTAAATAAATAGTGAACCCCTCACTCAAGGTAGAAAATGGAAATGGAAACTTTACAAGTGAATTACAGGTTTGGGTTTTTACATAATGGAGCTTACTAAAAATGAGGAAAAAAATACCTTTCTCTGAAGCATAATGTCAGGCCGATTGGGGAAATGGCTGAGTCTACTTTTGAGGCAGAATGTGTATAGGATGAGTCTAGGTAAGTGTCTCATCATAACTGAAAGCAGCGGAAGGTATCCGAGTAAACTGGAGCTTTTTCAGAAGGAATCAGAAGCCAACTTGAAGGAGCTCCCATTGCCCAACGCTAGGTAAATTTGAGCATAAGAAAGAATAATGACTGCTGTGGAGTAAAACATACTGAATATGTTTAAATCCTTGGGTTTATGATGCTTTAGAAACATTCTGGGAAAAACAAACACACCCTCATTCTGAAAACTGCAAATAAAGGAAAATATCAACTATATGTTAGAGTAACCAAATTTCTGATCAGCTAATTCAGAAGGAATGATGGTATTAGAAAATCACTGTTTTGTACATCTGATGAAATAGTGCATCCAGGCAGTCATCTTCAGTGGCTGCTAATATTTAAGTAAGAGGCTAATGGGGATCACTAAAGTGGATAGATCAGGCTGACAATGTGATCAATCTTAGCATCAAAAAGAACAGTCAGAACTTATGTGCATTTTTACTAATTGCACTAGGAAGTACCCAGTACTGCCAATGAAAGATTAACAAAAAACTCAACTTGAATCTCATCAGTCCTCTAGGTACAGCTACCAATTTACAGAAAAAACAGGATAAAAGACTACAGTAAGTGACACCAGGGAGATACAAGTGGCTAAATCCAGAATATAGCAAATTCTACACAGTAAATGACTAGGTATAAAAATAAATGCTATGACAAAAGTTTGGGAAACTTACAGAGTAAAAGAGCTTTGAGAGGCATATCAACCAAATGCAATATATGGACCCTGTTTGTATCCTAATTTGGACAAACCAGGTGTTATAAAGACATTTTGGGGGATAACCCAGGAATTTGAGTACCTGTCGATGTTCTGTGCTTTTATGGAATATATATTTTGGGGGAATGTGTGGTTATGGCTGTGTAATTTTTCTGATTAAGATGAATCAGCATTTTAATGAGCTAATTGGGATTTGCAGCTTTCTATTTTGACTTTGAGACTTAATACTTGTTTTTGTTTGTTTTTGCTTTTAGAATAGTTCTTTCAGTATTTCTTTGAAAGGCCTTACAAATATTAAGTCACCCTTGTCTATGCTAGAAATGGTGAAGACCTGCTGTTGTGATAAACAAGATTACGACCTGTATAAATCCAGTAGTTACACCATTTTCCTTTGCATTTTGGCAAAAGTTGTTAAGAAAGCAATGAAGAACAGTGGTCCTCATCATTGGAAACAAGTCAAAGGAAGGTGTGTGCCATATTTTTCTTTGTCATGAGTGTTCACATACCTTTGGAGAAGTGTTACTGTTTGTATTTTTTAAGTTAACTTGTGCTTGGAAGTCCTTATGGTTCACACATTTAAAATGTATTTCTTAATGTAGGACAGCAAAGTACAGAGCGATTTGAGCCTGCCAGTTTTCTATAGTAAGGAACAAAAGTAATATAATATCCATAACTCGTGGAGGATTTTAATTATTTATCTCATCAGTCCTAAAGATTGAAAGTTCATATACTAAATGCAAGGATATTAGAGAACTGTTGTTTTTCTTACCAGAATTAATTATAATGTTATTATGTAACTCATTGCATACATTTTATTAAAATTACAGAAATAAAAACCATCTCCAAATTGTACATTGGCAAGTAATGATTCTACCTATAAGTTTTGTGTTCTTTCAGCCCAGCAGTATTACAAGTCTGCATTCTTGAATGAAAACTAACCAGAGTATAGTAGAACCAAATAACTATTATTTTCATTTGAGGAGTATACCCAGTTTTAATTTCTGGTGGGGTAAAATAAAACTTTTGGTCACATTTCATGTATTCTTTTTGTTTAGAGTTTTGCTTGTTACAGGGGTATGGTTTTTTGCCTTCCCTTGTCCTACTTCCTCGGCCCACTAGCCCTTTCTCTAGCCCTCTTTGTGCATACACTGCCATCTATCACTTGCTCAGCTTATGGGGTAGGAGTTCTCACAGCAGAATGCTTCTTATTGTAGGTAGGGACTTCTCAAAAAAATCACTAAATGAAATTCCTATTTGATTCCCACAATGATTCTTCCAAGGTTATAGTGAAATAGTTTGGATTTTTTATTTAGAATATACTTTTTTAGTGGTAGCTTCTGTTTGCTTGAACAGTAGTTTTTTCTTTTGATATATTTTCTAGTTTGTTTTTTTAACCTTAATTCATTTTATGGAAGACATAATTCTTAGAACTCTGTTGCTAAACAGAATCATTAGAATTCATTCAATAACAAGTCTGTTTATTAGGAAATACTATATACTAAGCACTATAGTGGGCGTGATGGAGGCTATAAAGTTAATTAAACAGATCTTTATCAGCTCTATTATTTACAAATAAACAATTAACCACTCATGAACATTAATCATTTCTATTTTGAATAAACTAATTATAGAAGCTACAAAATTTAACATTTGTAAGTAGGATTCAAGATAAATGATTTTCAATTCTAATCCCTTAATTGATGAAAGAAAAGTACATCAACTACTAAAATTCTGTTAAGTAGTATTGACAAGAGATTTTTAAATGGCTAGTCTTAGAAATTTTAACACTACCAATTTTTCTTTGTAAGTAAAAATAACTTTTCTATCACTTTGAATTGTCTTAGCATATTAATGCAGCAAGAACAAATCTTTGTGAGGGGTAGAAAGAGAAGTGGTTTAAGGAAATTGTTAGATAAAATTCCCCTGTTAAGAATTGTGTATAGCACATCAAATTGTACTTAAAAGATTATATATTCTTTCTTGTCAACAAAAATTTAAAAAGAAAGGTGATAGGGGACCAAACAGGAGAAGTCATGTGCTATATATAAAGAACATTCCTACCGTCCTTTGGGAAAGCCCCTGAACCCTTTGACTCACTTATAGATGATCTGCTACATCATTGAGAAATTCAAAGGTAGGGTGTTCTGTTCATTTGTTTCTAGGTAGACAAAGTGACATGGCAACATTGCAGAAGTAGTGACTAAAAATTTACAGTAATGAGACTCGTGAATATTGAGCTAAATGCTATTTTAAAAGATGGATTTATGTGAATGAAATGGTTTTATTTAAGCAATTTTATGTTTTACAGAATATATTCTAAATTCCATCAAAAAAGAATGGAAGAACTAACTGTAGTTGGTCTGCAGAACTTTTTCAACCTTTTTCTACTGTTGGCAGCTGTTGCAGAGGTAGAAGATGTAGCAAGTCATGTTCTAGACCTCCTGAATTTCCTCAAGCCTGCCTTGAAAACATCACCTCTCATTTGGAAGGGTCAGGCAGCCTTCTTGTTGATGTATACCCAGAAAAGCCTGGACATTGGTGTTTTGGCTGAGAAATTTTCAGGTGCTTTCCAGGCAAAAGCAAGGGAGTTCTTGGTATCTAAGAATGATGAAATGGGACAAAGACAGACTCTCTGGACACTTATTTCCATCTACATCGATGGCGTTCAAGAAGTGTTTGAGACAAGCCATTGCTTGCATCCTTCCCATGAAAAACTGCTTAATGATGGGTTTAGTATGCTTCTGCCAGCTTGCCAAGGACCTGAACTTAGGACAGTATTGCACTTTCTACAGGCTGTTCTGGCCAGAATCAGGTATGTTTTCCAGTAATGTTCTAATTTATTAATTGTTTTATATCATCACCTGTGTCAATTCTATATTAAAGTTTATCTTTTGACATACTCATGAAATCCATTGTAGAGACAGGAGTTGGTTTTATTGCTACATTGGCATAAATCACTAATTTCCAAACTGTTCTTTAAAGCAGTACTTCGTCAAAAGAAAGCTTATATGCTAACACATTAAACTAAACTCAGCAGCTCTGGGGCAGTCCCAGAGCTATGCCTTTTCACTCCTCCTTTCCTTTCTCTCTCTCTCTCCCCTAAAAGAGTATTACCTAGAGGTATGTTTCACATATTCTAAGCAAGACCTTGAGCTCAAATCTGAAGTGGCTTTTATGGAAACATATATAATTTATTGCCCATAAGATTTTGGCCACAATGTACCATTAAAAAAAAGTAAGTTTCTTCAAATATTTTGCTGCAGAGTTGTAACCTCAACTGCCTGAAATGCTTCCAGCTAAAACAATTTATTCTGAGATTAAGATGGGATTGTTCTATTTATAATACCAATCACCTATACAAAACTTACTGTTTTCAGATCCAGTTAAATTATACAAATGTGCAGATGCACTCAGATCTGAACAATAATGGATAAGAACAGTAGTAATGACATTTTCTTTAAGGCCCTTTTTGCATAACACTTTTACCTTTGAAGTACATGTACTTAAGTTAGATGCTACCACTCCGTGTAGTTAGTCACTGTCTCTGAAAAGTTAGGTAAAAGTTATGTATAAAAATATGATTTTATTTTAAATTGTGTCTGAAGTTAACGAACAGACTGCTTTGCTCTTCCTAATATCACATTACAAAAGTAGCATAAGCCCGGCCGGGCGTGGCTCGGGTTGAGCGTCGACCTAGGATCCAGGTGATCAGGTTTTGATTCCCGGTCAGGGCACATGCCCAGGTTGCAGGCTTGATCAGTGACTCTCTCATCATTGATATTTCTATCTCTTTCTCTCTCCTTCTGCTTTCCTCTCTCTGCAAAAAAAAAAAAAAAAAAAAAAAGTAGCATAAGTTTTTCAAAAAGACTAAGCTTGACAAGATTTCTAAATTTGGGGAATTTATTTATTACCAATTCTGTTTACTTAATGTTTACTTAAAATTACTAATTTACTTAATGTTGGTCTGTGTGTTCGTAATAATTAATCGTCAGGTTTTCATTCATTAGGTTTTGTGCAGGTTTGCTGTTTGTCTCCTCTCATCAGTTTTAAGTTTAAAGGTTTAGCCAGAGTTCTTGATCAGATAATAATCTCCTTGTCCCCCAGTGTCAATTTTTAGATGGCTGGATGGCTGCAAAGTAAATGAATAACCAAAAGCTTTTTTTAGAAAAAGCTTTTACTAATTCTGCATCTTCTCCATGAACTGTTTGTTTTTAGTCTAGTTTATTAGATATACTTTCCCAAATGTCAAATTCATTTTGTTTGTACAATTTTTAAATAAGTCATAAGTAGTATTTCCCTGTGCTTCCTGGACTAAATTAGAAATTTCCATATTTCTGGCATCAGTGGTTTTTTATATTTGTCCAAATATACAAAACAGGAAGATGAGCTTACTGGTCTAAACCGTCCTGGTGATGAGGAGCTATAGCCCCCCAAAATATATAGGGGCAAAGGAATAGAAAATGAAGCTGATAGTATGGACATCTTGGGAAGAGGCAGTCATGGAAACCAAGTGTCAGAATCTGTATATTTTTCTGCTTTTTCCATTGAAGATGGATAATTTCCTTTTAATCATCTTAATTGTATTGATCTTACATAGATTTTTTTTTAGAAACAAAGATTCATATCCCACAAATACTGTTAGTTTAGTTTTCTTAGTAATTTGGGGAAATCTTTTTGTTAAAATTATCTTTAAATTGCAAATATAGTGTTATTGGTAAAAGAAAAAATGTGAAGTATAAGGTGACAAGTTCCTTGTCCCACCTTTACTCCTTTATTCTCAACTAGAGGTGAGTTTGTCCTGTAGGAGACATTTGGCAGTGTCTGAAGGTTTTGATTGTCACTCCCTGAGGCTGGGGTGTTGCTACTAGTATCTAGTGGGTAGAGGTCAGGGACACTGCTAACCATCCTACGATGCATAGGACAGCCCACACAATCAGCGCCAGTGGTGCTGAGGTTGAAAACATGGATCTAGTTCTAATTCACGCAAGTAAAATGGTTTCTTACAGAACCTTCCTGATTTTTCCCCATTCCTAGGCTTAAAACAAAATGGATAATCTTTGTTCTGCAACCTCTTTTCATTTAGTATTTCCTCAGTAGCTTTCCATGTTAGTATATGAACGCCTAAGTCTTTTTAATGGCTGCTTTAGTGTCTTATTCTATGAATGTACTAAACTTTATTTAACCAATCCCCAAATAATGGATGTTTATATTGTTTAACATTTTATGTTAATATAAACACAGTTTTACTCAACATCTTTATACATGCATTCTCTGTGTACTTGGGGAAGTGTATTTGCAGATTAATTCCTAAGAATGCATTGGTATATGTGAATTTTAAATGTGCATGGATATTACCAGATTTCCTACCAAAAAAATGTGCCAGTTTTCACTCTCCCTAATGGTGTATAAGAAAGCCCCCTTTCTCATTTTTAGATTAGTGTGTGGAGTATATTTAGAAAACATGTGCTCTAAGAGACTAAATACAGGAGTCTGTTAAAAATGTTGATGGAAACTTGGTAATTGGAGAATGAGACAAAGGTTGGAGAGGCTTTCAAAACGGAAATACAAAGAAAGTAGTAAAATGGGAAATTATTATTTTTAAAAATATTCGTTTACTAACTTCTTTTTGTCTTTAACCTCCTCCTAACTGGAACTTTTTTGGTCATTCTTCAAAAGTAGTAACTAGAAACACCAGAATAAATCTTGTATTCTTAAAAGATGTTCAGTTTACAAATACTATCTCATTTATTTCTTCACCAACCATGTCATCCCTGTTTATAGATGAAGAAATGGGATTATGGAGACTTTTATTACTTTCCTAAAATAAGGCAAGTTAAGTTTCAGAATTGGCACCCCGACCTAACCACCTATACCACAGCCACCTTATACCATCTTTTTAATAGTTCACAAATAACTGAACAGAAACTAACCATACCACTACATTTTTTATAGATGAGGAGGTAATTAAATGAGTGAAACCTTATAAATAAATAATAAATAAATAAATAAGTGAGTGAGTGAAACCTGTAAACTGTTTGCAAACCTGAAAGTATAAAAGTAAATTTACAGTTGAGTACATGAAACACAGTTTATTTTTGTATTATTATTTTTAATTATTGTATTATTTCCCATAAGAACTACTGTAAACCTATTTTTGTCCCACCCTGTATACTTCTGAGTGTTTTTGCCTTTATTTTTGCTACTAAAAAAAGGGTGGTGATTTGTTGGGGAACTTTCATTACTTCGTTTTCATAATTTTGCAAGTTAGATATTTTTTTAATGAGTCATTAGTTGGGAAAAATCACGGGTATGGAGACAAGTAAATCACATTTTATTTATAATAATAATTTATCTTTGGTTTATTAGCACCATTGCATCCATCTAACTTTCACTTCTTGTAATAAAAACAAATATTTACTCTTTACATTCAATTTAGTAGAAGTCCTTTAGCATTAAAGTCAAAGCTATTTCAGGAGTGTTGGGAAAATATTGCTTGCAAGTACCTTGGAAGCTATAAAGCATCTCTGTTAGTCCATGGGGATCACTATTCAGAAGTACTGAGGTAGGAATCAAGAGCGCATAATGAAGACTGTCCATTGTATAAGGTGAAAGTAAGTTTACATTCATGTTACTAGTATCTTTTACCTAGAACCACCTTGAGTTTATAGTTTGTTGTCACCTGGAGCAGGGGGCAAGGAGTATAATGTTGATCTTTAAAACCAGCCTATGAAAAAAGGACAGATGTTTATGTTGTTAACGTTTAATTCCTTGCACAAATGTTTATTTTTGGTTTTTATACTGTTCAACTGTGATTGAAAACAGTTGCTATACGTGAATATCAAATCATGTATAACTTTTCATTGCATAAAGTACAGATCGTGTTTAACTGATGGAAGTATGAGGTCAGTGTGTAAGAGTGGTGTAGTGATGTGCAGCTCTTAATTAATGCCGTCACAGTTTAGGCACTGTCATCTTTTAAATTTCTGAAGCTTGTGTAGCAATTTGGACACAGTTCTTCAGTGAGATTAACTATATAAGGGGGGCTGTGACTTATGTAGTTTAATTTTATTTCATCAGTCTTTAGCACTACCAAGGTAGATACTGTCAAGGCAAACTTCCTTTCAGTTTGCCGCCTTTGGAGAAGGGACCCAGAGGTCATTCAGGATTATTTACCTTAAAGGAAAGAAGGAAAGAAGGGAAGCAGAGAGGGGAAACATGAGAAAAAGTCCGTTAAGTATTTTGATCATAGAGATGTGTTCCTAGTTTCTTCACCTAAAACCTGGAGCTTCATTGAAGATCTTTCCATAGGAGTCTTTTGGATATGCTATAAAATTGTTACTTTTATATTATCAGAAAGTGCGAAACATTTTGGATAGTTGTAGAGCATAGGCTTTTTTTTTTTTCTTTTTAAGTTAACACAGCTAAATTCTTTGAATTTTGGTTTAGATAGGGAAGATGGGTTACATAGATTGATGATATTTATTCTGGACTGCATCCCCGACAAGGGGAAGAATGAAATACTTTACCTTAGCAATCTCTTCTGTTTTCAAATTCAGGTGGGAATAGGTACCAGTCCTTGCATAAATATGTGTGCAAGATGTGTGAGTATGTGTGTTGGACTGGGTAATAGTTTTATAACTGTATGACAGAGAAATTATAGGTAGGCAGGAACTAAGATCACTGATTAAGGGAGAAGCGGCTCCCTCTAGGCTGTTAAGAAATAATAACTTCATATGCCACTTTCTGCTAACTGGAGCTGATGGCTCACCAGAGCATTCTTTATTGCTGATTAAGTAGCATTATGAAAATACT